AAGGGAGTTCTGGGCATAGTCTTCCTCAAAAAATTCTACAGCTGCACCATCGAGAGCATCCTGACTGGTTGCATCACCGCCTGGTATGGCAACTGCTTGGCCTCTGACCGCAAGGCACTACAGAGGGTAGTGCGTACGGCCCAGTACATCACTGGGGCAAAGCTCCCTGCCATCCAGGACCTCTATACCAGGCGGTGTCAGAGGAAGGCCCTCAAAATTGTCAAAGACTCCAGCCACCCTAGTCATAGACTGTTCTCTCTGCTACCGCACGGCAAGCGGTACCGGAGTGCCAAGTCTAGGTCCAAAAGACTTCTCAACAGCTTCTACCCCCAAGCCATAAGACTCCTGAACAGCTAATCATGGCTACCCGGACTATTTGCACTGCCCCCCCACCCCATCCTTTTTACGCTGCTGCTACTCTGTTAAGTATTTATGCATAGTCACTTTAACTCTACCCACATGTACATATTACCTCAACTACCTCAACTAGCCGGTGCCCCCGCACATTGACTATGCAACGGTACCCCCCTGTATATATAGCCTCCCTACTGTCACTTTATTTTACTGTATATATAGCCTCCCTACTGTCACTTTATTTTACTTCTGCTCTTTTTTTCTCAACACTTTTTTGTTGTTGTTTTATTCTTACTTTTTTGTTTAAAATAAATGCACTGTTGGTTAAGGGCTGTAAGTAAGCATTTCACTGTAATGTCTGCACCTGTTGTATTCGGCGCATGTGACCAATAAAATTTGATTTGATTTGATTTGATTTGATTCTGCCCAGGGAAGAAACCTCGCCCACTTACCCTGCCGGTCCTGACAGTGGCAACGAAGAAACCTCCCCAGCTCCTGGTTCATGCGCTCCACCTGCCCATTCGACTGAGGCCTATATCATGAAGTGAGGCTGGCCATGGCCCGATCTTCTCCAGGAAAGCCTTCCACACTCGGGAGGGGAATTGAGGGCCATGGTCCGAGACGTTGTCCTCCGGAAGTCCACAATGCCGGAAGACCTGTTGGAACAGGACCTCAGCGACCTGGAGAGCAGAAGGAAGACCAGTTAGTGGCAAAAAACTGAATGATTTGGAGAACCGATCTACGACCACCAGGACGGTTGTGAAGCCATCAGAACATGGGAGGTCGGTGACAAAGTCTATGGACAGGTGTGACCAAGGTCACTGAGGCACTGGGAGAGGAACTAGTTTGCCTTCCGGGGCGTTCCGAGGTGTCTTCGTTTGGGCACATATGGAACAGGAGTTGATATAGCGGGAGACATCAGTAGCCAAGGTGGGCCACCAGTATTTTTGTAAAGGTTTACTTAACACTGAGCAAGAGAACAACAAAGAGCGAGTACACGACATGACACTAACAATCACACACAACACAACCCTGAACAGTCCAGGGCTATATAGAGGTGGTGATGAGGTGCAGGTGCACTGGAGGTGATTAGGGTGCGTTGGGTTTCCATTCCGGTGTTGCCGAGGTGGTGCGCTCAGACCGGTGGCTCAGTAGACCGGCGAATCAGAGCGCCGGAGGGGAGCAACGGGAGGAGACGTGACACTCTCTCATCGCAATGCCTTTGTGTTTGTTACCGCTCATCTCCTCCTCTCAGTCACAGACAGCACAAGCCTAGCTCTTTGTGCTTGAAGGGATTATTTCGCTTAAATGGAAATGCTAAATGACTTGGAATAAAACAAAGGCATGAAAGAATAGAATCCAAGGCAGGATGAATCAGAGATATTATGATTATAGATCAGAAGTGTAATAATTCCTTCAAAATATTGTCTGTGGTTCTATGTGGTTATACATATACTGTATATCTGTGGCTCTGGTGCACCATGTTTAATCTTTATTAAAACACAAGCACATGTTGATGTTGTTGTGTAATATAGACAAAATGTTAGTGTCAACAAATCTCATTCAGTGAGCTGACAGTTACTGCCACCACTCTGTGTGTGTGTGTGTGTGTGTGTGTGTGTGTGTGTGTGTGTGTGTGTGTGAATGGGACAAGTGTGTTGTCTGTGGCTGCCACATCTGATATATCCTGATGGGAAATTGTCTGGGTTGGCAGGCAGTAAATGTTCTCTCACTTTCTTTCTCGCTCTCAGAAACACACCGCTTCTCGTCTCTGTGGCCGTTTATATATGTTGTCGTGGCAATAGTCATCTCATCTCCCTGTTACTCAGGCAAACAAACACTCCATGGAACACTCAGTAGAACTGACAGCAACCAGCCAGTCTCTTTAACTCTTTATCCTACTGTCACAACATACTGCCTTCTCATTTATCCCGTACGGCTCATAATCTATTCACATCACCGGTTCTCAAAGTGTCACAAACGTGCCAAGGAACCGCCCCCAGGTGTGTCTGATTCATTGTGTGAAAACACCCTTCTGCTCATAGTTTCTCTCCCGCAGAAATATGCTTTTCCCAAGTAAAGAAGAGTGTGACAGAAGATGTTAATGGGAAGGAGGGATAATGAGCGAGATAGAGAGGTCCTACATCGGCTAATTAGAGCAGGGCTTCATGAGTTCAAGGACGATTTTAATTTAGCAGATAAGATGAGGGGAGGAGGGGGTGAAAGGGGTGAGATGGGTGAGACTTCCAAGATCTTAATTACTGCATTGATTTCTCTATGGTGCTGCCTCGGGGGAGGAGGAGTGAGGAGGGAGGTGGTGGGTCTCTTTGGGAAGCTCAGTCTTCTTAGCTGGAGCCAAGTTCAGTTGGCTCCGGCCAAAAGCTCTGCCCAGGTCAACTATTTCCCTTTCAATTACTCAGACACTCACATAATGCATTCATCTCAGGAGGAACCCGCTAAGCCCCAGGGATGGACACACACACACGTGCACACACAGACACACACACACGCATGCACACACACACACACGCATGCACACACCCGCTCTCTTTCTCTCTTTCTCTATCTCCCTCTCTCTCTCTCTCTCTCTCTCCCTCTCTCTCTCTCTCTCTCTCTCTCTCTCTCTCTCTCTCTCTCTCTCTCTCTCACACTCTTTCTCTCTCCCTCTCTCTTTTATTCTCTAGACTCTCTCTTTTATTCTCACACTGTTACGTGAAAATAATAATTTTTGATAACCGTTGAGGAATTCTATCAAATAGGGCAAAGGCTGCCTCTGCAAACTCATTGCCAATTACTCTGTTTGACCTGGGTTCTACATCAGTTGAATCTCTTGAAAGTTTTTAAGTAGGAATAGGCCTACATTTGAATGCGGACTTGGAATAGTACTTTGTCGGTAGCACTGTGTGTGTCCGTGCTTGTGTGTGTGTGTTTAGTAGTAGCAGTGTGGGGCAGTCCCGCTCCTCATGTGCTGAAATAGCAGTGGGCTGGATTTGAACACATGCTGCAGTGGTATATATGTTATCCGTAGGCAACCTTAAAGGCCCAGTGCAGTCAAAAACATTATTTTCCTGTGTTTTATATATATTTCCACACTACAAGGTTAGAATAATGCTGTGAAATTGTGAAAATGATGATAATGCCCTTTTAGTGTGAGAGCTGTTTGAAAATACTGCCTGAAATTTCAGCCTGTTTTGGTGAGATGGAGTTTTGGCCTGCCTGGTGACATAACCAGGCGGTAAATTAGATAATAAATCAATAAGAACGAGAGTTCAAAACCTCTCTGCCAATAACAGCTAATTTTCAGTTTTCCCCTCCCCACTCAGACCACTCCTAAATTCTTGCTTGAGAAATTGCTCTTTGCTAAGAAGCTATCTTTGTTTATTTTTACAATTTTAATTGAAAACAATCACAGTAAGGTACTTAATTGTTACCCAGAAATGATTTGATATTGAGAAAAACAACTGCATTGGACCTTTATGCTTGACTCAGTCCACTATTCCTGGTCACAGCTGGATAGAGGCAGGCAGGCACGCACACACACACACACACACACACACACACACAAGAATACCAGGGGTTATGAGTTAATTGGCAGCAGAAAGACAGAGCTTGCCTGTACACCACTATCTAGGTGTCATTAAGGTAATCTACAGGTGTGTGGATGAAGACCTCTCTCAGTCATGACTTGTAGCTATGCTTGTATTCCCTCTAGACAGCTAGGCTAATCATAACGCACTTATAACATGATAGTCATTACAACAACACAGCAGTAACGCATACATTATACTGAGAGAAATCATTGAGGCATTGCTTCAGATATACAATGGAACATGCTGATTTTAGAGAGTGAATGTTGATGTGTATCAAACACAGTAGCATACCGCACGTTATGGAAATAGTAATTTAGAGCTGATATGCAATTGATATGCCCGTTGTATAGATGTCTGTCTCCGTAGTACAACACAAACAACACTGTCACAGACACATCTCGACTGGGCAGAATGAATGCAGAGTTCAAGTCTTCATGCCTGACACACTGAGGGACTGAGAGTGAGCAATTACCATACGTAGGGACTAATTAAAGCAGTAGGCTGGTGTAAAAGTCCTTATCATAATGTGTTTCTGACTTATGATATTACTGGGAATTGTGGACGTAAACATAACCATGCTGTTACTGTAGCAGATCTGCCTGACTGACATGTCTGTCCTCCAGGACCTGTGTAGCTCAGTTGGTAGAGCATGGCGCTTGCAACGCCAGGGTTGTGGGTTCGATTCCCACGGGGGGCCAGTATGAAAATGTATGCACTCACTAACTGTAAGTCGCTCTGGATAAGAGTGTCTGCTAAATGACTAAAATGTAAAAAATATAAATGTTACTCAGCCTGCACTGTTTTATACAAGTTTTCTGGAATAAGTCATGAATAGCATTTTTTCAGAGAAAACAAGTTTCAATCAAAACATATTTTAGTAACTACTTACACAGAAAATGGAGTGTGGGTATTCTCTTTTCAGCCATCTTCTACCATGTATGTGTATATAGATTACATTTGATTGAACAGGACCGTTTCTCTCTTTCTTCTTGTCTAACTTTTTATTTTAACCCCTCACCGCTCTCTCTCCCTCATCTTCCTCTCCTCTTCCTGCAGTGGGATTCCATCAATGAGATGGATGAGTATTTCAGCCCCATCCACACGTACCAGGTGTGTAACGTGATGAGTCCCAGTCAGAACAACTGGCTGAGGACAGGCTGGATTGCTCGTGACGGAGCCAGGAGGATCTACATCGAGGTCAAGTTCACCCTCCGGGACTGTAACAGCATGCCTGGAGTATTGGGCACCTGCAAGGTACGAGATGGAGGGGTGAAAGAGTAAGACAGGTGACAGAGGGGGAGAAGATTTAAACAAGGGTTCCCCAACTTCCCCAATTGTTATTTTATTTTGTATTGTTGGACATTAAGATTGTAAAAACACCAGCAAATTTAATTTTGGAAATACTATATGTTCCAAAGTATTCTCACACATAATAGAGAGATATACACTGAGTATACAAAACATTAAGAACACCTGCTCTTTCCATGACATAGAATGACCAGGTGAATCCAGGTGAAAGCTATGATCCCTTATTGATGTCACCTGTTAAATCCACTTCAATCAATGTAGATGAAAGGGAGGAGACAGGTTAAAGAAGGATTTTTAAGCCTTGAGACAATTGAGGCATGGATTGTGTATGTGTGCCATTCAGAGGGTAAATGGGCAAGACAAAATATTTAAGTACCTTTGAACGGGGTATGATAGTAGGTGCCAGGCTCACCGGTTTGAGAGCAACGCTGCTGGGTATTTCATGCTTGATAGTTTCTTGTGTGTCTACAAATTCCTGTGCAGTCAACAAATTATTATTAATTTTAAACTGGGTAGTTTGAACCCTGAATGCTGATTGGCTGAAAGCCGTGGTATATCAGACCGTATACCACAGGTATGACAAAAAAAAATTAACGGTTTACTTTTCTAATTACGTTGGTAACCAGTTTATAATAGCAATAAGGCACCTTGGGGGTTTGTGGTATATGGCCAGTATCCAGGCACTCTGCGTTGCGTCATGCATAAGAACAGCCCTTAGCCGTGGTATTTTGGCCATATACCACACCACCTCAGGCCTTATTGCTTTATTATGTTCTGAATCCCTGACCAGCCACTCAAGAAAGAAATTGGACCGCAGCTGAATCTAGGTGATGATCCCTGATTTAGACCTTGCCACTTAAAAATGCAACTCATTGACTTGGTCAATTCCATATGTCTCATCAAAGAAGAGAAACAGATTTATTTTAATTAACCTTAATTCCAAGAGTGCAGTCCTTTTTTTTCTCATCATTGACAATCTGATTTCTCTTTTCACAGTAAACCTGTAAACAACTGTGTGTATGTGTTATGTTATCTGATGAACAGGAGACATTTAACCTGTACTACTATGAGTCAGACCGAGCGGTGGGCGCGGCCATAAAAGAGACCCAGTTCACCAAGATCGACACCATCGCTGCTGATGAGAGCTTCACTGGAGTGGACCTGGGAGTCAGGAGGCTCAAACTCAACACTGAGGTTCGCTCACTTATTAGAAACCAGAGTGAAGGCCTCCCGAATGGCGCAGCGGTCTAAGGCACTGCATTGCAGTGCTTGAGGCATCACTACAGACCCAGGTTCAATCACAGGCTGTGTCACAACCGGCCGTGACCGGGAGTCCCATAGGGCGGCGCACAATTGGCCCAGCGTCGTCCGGATTAGGGGAGGGTTTGGCCGGGGGGGCTTTACTTGGCTCATCGCGCTCTAGTGACTCCTTGTGGCGGACCGGGCACCTGCAGGCTGACTTCGGTCGTCAGTTGAATGGTGTTTCCTCCAACACATTTGTGCAGCTGGCTTCCGGGTTAAGCGGGCGGGTGTTAAGAAGCGCGGTTTGGCGGGACATGTTTTGGAGGAAGGATGACTCGACCTTCGCCTCTCCCGAGCCCGTTGGGGAGTTGCAGCAATGAGACAAGATCGTAATTGGATCGCAATTGGATATCACGAAATTGGGGGGAAAAAGGGGGTACAAAATAAGAAACCAAAGTGCAAAATGATGTTGGTTGATATATATGTTTTGAGTGAGCAATGTTGATTTCTACTTCTTAGCCAGCATGGTGCTAAAGTGAGTGGAGCACCTAATCTCATGCCTTTCATAGTGCCACATTTGACTTTGCTCCCACTTGTATTTTTTTTATTTTTATGAATCATTGTGATGTAATGTCCCCTCCTTCTCCTCCAGGTGCGAGGTGTGGGCCCCCTCACTAGACGAGGCTTCTACCTGGCCTTCCAGGACATCGGGGCGTGCATCGCCCTGACCTCTGTGAGGGTGTACTACAAGCGCTGCTCGGGCGTGGGCCGCAACTTGGCCGTGTTCACTGACGTGGTGACGGGCGCTGACTCCTCCTCCCTGGTGGAGGTCAGGGGTCAGTGTGTGGACCACGCCGAGGAGAGAGACACGCCCAAGATGTACTGCAGCGCCGAGGGGGAGTGGCTGGTGCCCATCGGGAGGTGTGTCTGCAGTGCGGGGTTCGAGGAGCACAGGGAGTCCTGCGTCGGTGAGTCACACTCTGGGTCATTGATATTGTGTTGGGCTACCTTGTTTTATATTATGTTACTGTACTGCAGTACTTTATCTTTACTTTACTCTACCTGTGCTCAATCTGTGCATTTGTGGTCAATGTTCAGCCTTGGATGTTTTCTGTGTGTTTTGTGTGGTTCAGTTGATGGTTGGTTTGGTTGAATAGCTCAAGTCCTGAATAATTTTTCAACTTTTAAGATGATAAGCTGTGGTGAGTCACGGAAGACACAAGTCTTTTTTTCTTTTCTTGTCTCTCTTTAATTTTTGTGTTGTTTATTTTCTCTGATGGACTGACCTCATTTAGGGACCAGTGCATATTTTGGGTTGCCAGGGTTACGGTAATTAAAAACTATTAATCACATCCCCATGATAATTAAACGCTAAAAGCATTCCGTCGGCTAAATGTGCCAAACGAGGCGAATGAGGCACGGAACACTGGTTCACCTGTCTTGTTTGTCACACACACACACACACACACACACACACACACACACACACACACACACACACGTCTTCTCTCATTTGCATACCTGTTTACGGCCTGAAGGAAACACACTCTCCTGGGGAGCAAGGCATTGACGGCTCTTGGCACACACACAAACACACACGGAGAGATGAAGGTAAATGATGTGTATGTGTTTGTGTGTGTTGCGGCGGGTAGATACTCACGCTTTCCATAATTAGTTGGCGTCTCCCATTAGCACTCAGATCAATATGTATGCAGAAAAGCAGTCAGCTAGAAAATGTAGTTTTTTATGTTTTAGATGCTTGTCTCATGAATCTCTCCATTTGCGTATAGTCAAGACATAAACATATAGCATTACAGTAGTGCCTAGTCTTTGTGGTAGCTGCAGTAGCTGTAGTAGAGGGCTGACGTGTATATGTGTGTGCCTGCGCACGTGCGTGTGTGCTGGTGTGTGTGTGTGCTGCGTGTGTGTGTAGAGGACTTGTCTCTCTGTGACCTAACTGGGTCACTGTGATAATTCACCTCTCTCCAGTCACGCACATCCCAGGACACGAGACCAGCCAGGTCACTCGAGTAGTATGTGTGCACAAGAAAAAAGAATTAACTGTGTGTGTGTGTTCGTATGCACTATGTATGTGTGTGTGCATGTGTGTGAGCGCAAGATCTTCTACGTGAAAGATTGTGTGATGTCACGTTAAAAGTGTCAGGGAGGAAAAAGAAGAGGGTGAAGAGAAAGATAGAGGGAGAAGAAAGAAGAGAATGGAAGAGGAGAGAAGAGACGGATCCCTCTCTTTGATACAGGAGGCTAGTCGACAGCTCCCTTGTCACGCTAAAAGTGACATTCGAAATAGAGCATGTCACTGCAGTGTGTGTGTGTGTGTGTTTGTGTGGGTGTGGTGTGTATGTGTGTGTGTATGTGTGTGTGTGTGTGTGTGTGTGTTTGGTGTGTGTGTGTGTTTGGTGTGTGTGTGTTTGGTGTGTGTGTGTGTGTGTGTTAGTGTGTGCGTGCAAGCCCGCCCCAGGGCTTTTGACTGCTAGGGGAGAATGAAGTAAAGTGGTTCAATCCCATACAGAGAGATTGAGAGAGATACAGTGAGAGCGACTGAGGACACACTGATATGGGACACACACACTTAGCCTGATTACATTCACTCAAGTCAACCAGCCTATCTGACCTTGTTACAGAGGGTGGGGGGAGACACACACACAGAGACACAAACAGAGAGAGAGAGAGAAAGAGACAGAGAGAGAGCGAGACACTGAGACAGAGAAAAAGGCAGAGGGAGAGAGAACGAGATAATGAGAGAGAGAGGGAAAGAGAGATGGAAAGAAGGGGGAAGAGAGAGAGAAAGCAAGAGATCCTTATCCTCCCACCGGCCCACCTCAGTGGTTTAGCTCACTGCAATAGTAAACACGTTGTGAGAGTGTTTATGTTTGGCCCAGACAGGCATGGCATTAGATCTATGAATCTATGAAAGAGATCAAGTACACACATCACTGATTCCCATGCTGGACAGAAAACATGGTGAAAAAATACATGATGTCTGCAACAATGATATGATCATCTATTTCACAGACAAACATATTTTCACAGATTTTAAGTGAATTTAATTTGTGAGGTCTTATTTTAGTGGATCACCATATGTTTAAAATACCTGTGTTGTGGATTTCATCTATTTTCCTTTTTTTCTAAGGATACCAGTTTCCCTGAGGGTTAGTACTGTAGTTAGGGAAACTTTATTTAATGAGGAAACAGAACACAGGGACATACTGTACAATTGACCCTTCGCTGAATGAAATATTTAGCATATAGAATAACAATCCTGGCTAGACTTGCCTGGCCAAAGAATTCAACTATTGATTATGCAGAACAATAGCCTATTCAGATAATGAGCTAAATGCTTAAAACATTACAGACTGCATCCCTTCAATGTGAGTTTAAAATAACTGCCAAATAAGGGCAATACATCATTGATGTAGGGCCAGTTCCTCAGACACAAATTAAGCCTAGTGCTGGACTAAAAAGCAAGCTCAATAGAAAATCTCCATTGAAAGTTATTTTTAGTCCAGGGCTAGGCTCAATCTGTATCTGGGAAACAGGCCTTTCAAAGTTTAAGTGTCTGAATTTCCTTATTTAAAGAAATATATATAATATATAAAAGATATACAGTACCAGTCAAAAGTTTGGACACACCTACTCATTCCAGGATTTTTCTTTATTTGAGATTCTTCAAAGTAGCCACCCTTTGCCTTGATGACAGCTTTGCACACTCTTGGCGTTCTCTCATCCGGCTTCATGAGGTAGTCACCTGGAATGCATTTCATTTAACAGGTGTGCCTTCTTACAAGTTAATTTGTGGAATTTCACTTAATGCATTTGAGCCAGTCAGTTGTGTTGTGACAAGGTAGGGGGGTATACAGAAGATAGCCCTATTTGGTAAAAGAACAAGTCCATATTATGGCAAGAACAGCTCAAATAAGCAAAAAGAAACGACAGTCCATCATTACTTTAAGACATGAAGGTCAGTCAATCAGGAACATTTCAAGAACTTTGAAAGTTTCTTCAAGTGCAGTCGCAAAAACCATCAAGTGCTATGATGAAACTGGCTCTCATGAGGACCACCACAGGAAAGGAAGACCCAGAGTTACCTCTGCTGCAGAGGATAAGTTCATTAGAGTTAACTGCAGCTCAGATATTGCAGCCCAAATAAATGCTTCACAGAGTTCAGTAGCAGACACATCTCAACATCAACTGTTCAGCGGAGACTATGTGAAACAGGCCTTCATGGTTGAATTGCTGCAAAGAAACCACTACTAAAGGACACCAATAATAAGAAGAAACTTGCTTGGGACAGGAAACACGAGCAATGGACATTAGACCGGTGGAAATCTGTCCTTTGGTCTGATGAGTCCAAATTTGAGATTTTTGGTTCCAACTGCTGTGTCTTTGTGAGACGCAGCGTAGGTGAAAGGATAATCTCTGCATGTGTGGTTCCCACCGTGAAGCATGGAGGAGGAGGTGTTATGGGGTGCTTTGCTGGTGACACTGTCAGTGATTTATTTAGAATTCAAGGCACACTTAACCAGCATGGCTACCACAGCATTCTGCAGCGATACGCCATCCCATCTGGTTTGCGCTTAGTGGGACTATCATCTGTTTTTCAACAGGACAATGACCCAACACACCTCCAGGCTGTGTAAGGGCTATTTGACCAAGAAGGAGAGCAATGGAGTGCTGCATCAGATGACCTGGCCTCCACAATCACCCGACCTCAACCCAATTGAGATGGTTTGGGATGAGTTGGACCGCAGAGTGAAGGAAAAGCAGCCAACAAGTGCTCAGCATATGTGGGAACTCTTTCAAGACTGTTGGGAAATAATTCCAGGTGAAGCTGTTTGAGAGAATGCCAAGAGTGTGCAAAGCTGTCATCAAGGCAAAGGGTGGCTACTTTGAAGAATCTAAATTCTAAAATATATTTTGATTTGTTTAACACTTCTTTGGTTACTACATGATCCCATATGTGTTATTTCATAGTTTTGATGTCTTCACTATTATTCTACAATGTAGAAAATAGTTAAAATAAAGAAAAACCCTTGAATGAGTAGGTGTGTCCAACATTTTTACTGGTACTGTATATACAGTGCATTCGGAAAGTATTTAGACCCCTTAACCTTTTCCACATTTTGTTATGTTACTGCCTTATTCAAAAATTTATTAAATTGTTTTTTTCCCCTCATCAATCTACACACAATACCCCATAATGACAAAGCAAAAATAAGATAACAATAACGAAATATCACATTTCCATAAGTATTCAGACCCTTTACTCTGTACTTTGTTGAAGCACCTTTGGCAGTGATTACAGCCACGAGTCTTCTTGGGTATGACGCTACAAGCTTCACACACATGTATTTGTGGGGGTTCTCCCATTCTTCTCTGCAGATCCTCTCAAGCTCTGTCAGGTTGGATGGGGAGCATCGCTGCACAGCTATTTTCAGGTCTCTCCAGAGATGTTCAATCGGGTTCAAGTACGGGCTCTGGCTGGGCCACTCAAGGACATTCAGAGACTTGTCCCGAAGCCACTCCTGCGTTGTCTTGGCTGTGTGCTTAGAGTCGTTGTCCTGTTGGAAGGTGAACCTTCGCCCCAGTACTGAGGTCCTGAGCGCTCTGGAGCAGGTTTTCATCAAGGATCTCTCTGTATTTTGCTCCGTTCATCTTTCCCTCGATTCTAACTAGTCTACCAGTCCCTGCCGTTGAAATACATACCCACAGCAATGTGCTGCCACCACCATGCTTCACCGTAGGGATGGTGCCAGGTTTCCTCCAGATGTGACGCTTGGCATTCAGGCCAAAGAGTTCAATCTTGGTTTCATCAGATCAGAGAATCTTTTTTCTCATGGTCTGAGAGTCCTTTAGGTGCCTTTTGGCAAATTCCAAGTGGGCTGTCATGTGCCTTTTACTTAGGAGTGGCTTCCGTCTGGCCACTCCACCATAAAGGCCTGATTGGTG